CCACGTCTATGGGGCCGTCCATAAATGACGTCACGCGATGTTGGACGATTTTTGACTCCCCCCCCCCTTCGTCACAAAAAGTCAGACCCCCCCTCAAATGTGACGTCACAAAGCTCTGCCCCCCCCCCCCAAAAATAAAACATGCTTCAAATCGCTTTAAACTATTGTCATTGTAGTGCGTATTTAATGTGGCGCTGCACTCTGGTGTTGTAGGAGAAAACATTTATTAAAAAGTCAATTTAATTAAGTAGAACGTGTTGTCTATATTTATTTAAAGTTGCGCATTTTGATGTGACATTTCCCACCCCCCCCCCTCGTCACACATCGTCACAAACATCTGACCCCCCCGCCCCTACGTGCGTGACGTCATTTATGGACGGCCCCTATGCTAGCTGCTTATTATGGTGAGCTTAGAGAATGCCACGCACGACACGTACAGTTCGCTACTGTGCAGTACAGCACGCACGAAAACTATACGCACAAACGATGTACACACGAGTGCTGTACACACACAAACGTACACAGCAGTTGGCCAAACAGCTGCCAAATAACCCCATCGCATTATCCGGGGGCAACCATTGCGAGAAAACTTGGCAGGGCAGGGCCCTCCTCGAAAAATAATGGGTCACCATTCCTCGGCGAGGCTTATTTCGTTGTTGTTATTGTTGGGAAAACGCCACGTCGGCGTTGACTCGTTAACAGTCGAAGCCACTGGGAGTGAGAGTCGTGACATCACGGCCAAACGCACCTTGACCCCGCGGTGTTCTGTGAGCTCAGGGTTGCACGAACCCTCACAGAAATGTCCAGCAAAGTCGCGAAGCTGTTACCCCCACACCACCCCCTGCCTGGGTCCGAGACAGAGCCGTCCCTCCTTGGCTCACGATGAATCGGGGAGACTGCCCCGGGCCCCGCACTTTTGGGGGGAGGGGGCACCCCACGGACCCCGTTGTTCTTCGACGTAGGCGGGTTGGCACGCAAGCTGATTTGCCCTCAGGCCCCCCATCTCCCTATGGACAGGCCCTGGCCGGAGATAATAGGTGTCGCGCTGCACATTACTTCCATGAGCGAGTCATTCGTGATCGTGAGCTGCCGAGGGAAATTCCATCCGACCGGCGACTCGTGAAACCACCGCCTTTGTCCTTGTAGCGGTCGCACGGCTCGCTGAACTTTCCCGAGCGGAGGTTGCGATTAAACTCCTCCTCATTCTTGGGTACGTGGGTTTTCATAAGATGGGAGTGGAGCTGTTGTCTCAGCTTGGCGGAGCATGCCTCCGTCAGCCAGCGTTTCTGAGAAGCACTAAATTGCGTGCCCATTTCCGTTTGCGTTGAGTCGTCACAGGCCTGTTGACTCACGATGGTTCTAAAACCGGTTAGCCGGGTCCAAGGCTTTTGTGGGATTGAACGGGGTCACTAGTTGGACGCCCACCACAGCGGCAGGCACACCGTACGGATGACAGGCCGATGGCGAGTGGGCAGATATCAGCTCCACGGTAGGTCCTGGCATCAAGGACATGGGCCCGTATTCTTTATTCCATCGCTCCATATTCCGTATGTTCTCGCTTTGACCCGGCGCGTATCCATGAACAGCGTGTTGGCGATTACAAGCCCATGGGCTGCACAGAAGTCTAGCGGCCTCCTAACGTTATTGAGCCGATCTGGCCCATGCCTTCCAATCACTTTGGATTCAGCTACCTGCATGCACCAAAACGTACTGGGGCTTAAAAGTCACCCAACAAGATGACTTTACCCCGGGGTGCCACTTTAGCTGGCGCCTGGGACAGGTCATATAAGGCATCCGACTCATTATTCTGTCATGCATTCATCCACTGATGTTCATATTCGGCGGTTGCATAAGCCGCCAACGGCCACCACCGGCCACCACCAACATTCCCCACTTGTTGTTGATGGAGAGGTGGGATTCACGACTACCCCCACACACCCTCACCGCCACGCTCCGATGCACCGGCTCCTTCTTCACTTATTTGTTTAGATCTTGATTTAAAGCTTTCGTGACTGCAGGAATGCATACTCTTGGGCCTTTCGGTCAAGCCACGTAAATAAAAAACGCATAGATCGAAACGTCGTGATCTATTTTTATTTTTAAATCCTTTATATTAAGTTCACTTGCTTGCTTTGCTTGCGCGCTTACGACCGTGCAAATCTTTCGGTCGTTTTTTAACCCACTTCCCGTGATCCAATCGAGCTGACATTTTGCACACAGACTCGTTGTGCGTGACAATTTATTTTCGTGAAAATTTTTTTCCAAAATTTTCCACTTTTTAGGAAAAAAAAATTTCATATTTAATTCAAAATACCAATGTGATAAAAATGAAACTCTTACTCAAGAAAAACACATATGAATAATAAAATAAAACCGATGCCACGCATATAAAGGATTTATAGTGAAAAACTTTGTTTTTACGGGTTAATTTTTATTTACGTGACTTAACCGTAAGACCCAAGAGTCTTTGTTTAGACTTTAGCAGAATGGGTTTTTTTTCGTTGCCCTGGAGTTTTCGCGCTGGCCAAACCCTCGTGGTGAAAACCCCAGCGTGTAAAGGAGGGCCCCGAGGGGAGGCGCGCGTGTCCATGAAAGCCCCCTGGCCAAACTCTATTTGCTGGGGAGTATATGGGGGTGACAAACGGATACACGCATCACCACACGAAGGCGGAGATTTTACCCCGTATCGCTTTAAAAATCTGTTGGGCAAAGTGCTGTTAGCCAGAGTAGCACCTATGAAGGCCAACATGATGGTGGGGGGGGGGAGGTCAGTACCACGCCCGACCGCCTTTGTTTCCCCAGTGCTGATGTTTACACACTGCACCAGGTAATATTAAGGCCGAGTCGACCTAGAGGAGGTCGAGGACCGGTTGAGATGCTCGCCACTAATGTACGGTCGTGAGCGGGAATCGAACTCGGCTCACAAGTGCACGAACCACTACACTACCGCTCTCCCCCATATATACATACGCATGTATATATATACAGTATCGATAAATCCACTGCTGGATGAAGGCCTCCGCAAGCCGTTGCCATCCCTCGTGATCCTTGTACCGCAACAACAATCCACCGAGCAACCCGTGCACGACATCCCATCGCTCCGTCTCCGCGATGGACGTGCAAATGGGACGCGTCCCATCGGCCACCACCCCCGCCTGATCTCTGATCCACGTGTTCCTCTCTCTCCGTCTCAGTACAATTCCAAGCTTGCATCTCTCCATCTCTCCACGCTTCGTTGCGCACTTTTCCCTTTCTATTCGTTGATGTCCCGTGTGTGTTTGGGTTTTTTTAGAACGAAAGACACAAAGATCCCCCGTATAGCCTTAACAGACTACAGTATATAGGGGCAAGTGCTGTCAGCGAGCACCTATGAAGGCCGGCACGGCACACGCGGGGGTGGGCGGCCAGCACCACGCCCGGCCGCCTTTGTCTCACCAGTGGCGACGTTTCACCAACCGCATCGGGTGCTCATTTGACGCCGAGCCGACCTAGGGGGAGGTCACAAGACCGGTCAATCGCCCCGACGTGGCGGTGACGTCACCGCTAAGGTGCACTCGCATGTGCGAAGCAAATATGAAAGGCTGCCGCCGCGGAAAGTCAGACAAGGCCGTTTGGGTGACACGTGGTCTTGAGCAGCACCTGTGCAGGTCCGGCCCGGTGCACGAGCCCGCAAACCACGCTCGGACGACTTTCATCACTGCCCAACTGGCTGCTGTTTGAACACCGCAAATTGAATGCAGAGTCCACCTCGGGTCGGAGCCGTGCACCGTCGGTTTAGATGTGTTTACTGCGTTAGCCATGAACAATATGAAGGAAAAAATAACGTGGTTTTACGCGTTCAAACACCACGCAGACACGATGTTGCGAGGGATCAAGTCCTGCATTAACCGCGCGTGCTTTTGGTGAACATGGAAACAAAAACATGCTCCGATAATATACCTACTCTAAAACAATGTGCATACTTTGAAAGTGTCAACAACAACAACAACAAAAAGTCAGGTGATGTATCAAAGATGTTGGCTCGGAGCTGGAATTAAACGGAACGCGTGAGTTTGTACGCTAACCACTGCGCCACCGCTCCCCCCCCCACACACACACAGCTGTGCATAAACACAGGTACTAACCATGCACCAACAATATAACCTTTTCATGGACTTTCGTGGGAAGTGCTGTTAGCGAGCACCTATGGAGAGGCTTGCGATGCTAGGGGTGGGCGGACAGCAACCACGCCGGGCCGCCCTCGCGACCCCAATGCTGAGGTTTACACAACTGCAATAGTTTAAGGCTGAGTCGACCAAGGGGAGGCCCACGCAAACATTCGCCGCCGGAATTGCGTCACGAGCGGGAATCGAACTCGGGATTTTTTTTGTTTTCCTCCGGGATTCGTAGCTTAGTGCGCCAACCACTGCGCCACCGCTCCCCCACAAAAAACACACACACGCACACGCTTAGCCGCCTTATACCCCACGCGTACACACACACTGATACACACGCACAGAGACACGCACACAGAGACACACATACAGAGACACACACACACTCTCGTGCATCTACTTGCGGATCAGGGGAAGGGTGGTGGGAGGGGGAGCGGGAGAGGGGGAGAGGAGGGGGGTGAGGGGGGTATTTTGACCATACTTTATCAATTATGTACACACACACAGACACACACAGACACACGCGTGCATCCACTTGTGGATCAGGGGAAGGATGGTGGGGGGAATGAACGGGAGAGGGGGGGGAGGAGGGGGCGTAAGGGTGTATTTTGACCATACTTCATCAATTCTGTACACACGCACACAGCAGTGCACACATACAGACACACGCACAGAGACACACACACAGACACTCTCGTGCATTCACTTGTGGATCAGGGGAAGGGTGGTGGGGGGATTGAACGGGAGAGGGGGAGAGGAGGGGGTGAGGGGGGGGGCGAGGGGGTATTTTAACCATACTTCATCAATTCTGTACACACGCACACAGCAACCGTTCCCACTCCTCACCCTGCGGAGCATATCCTGGCGCCACGGGTGGCTGCGAGTAACCGTAAGGAGGTGGGGCGCTCATGTCTTCTTCCCTTTCTCTTCAGCGCTTCTCTCTCTCTCGTCTCCTGATGCCCCCTGTTCGTTGCTGGGCCCCGTTCTCCTGCCTCGTGTCTCGTCCTCCTCTCAGTCGGGTCTCTTGTCTCTGCCTCTCGAGTCCCGTTGCGTGTCTGCGACCTCGCGCCTCCTCCTCCTCCTTCGCCTCGCAACTGGCACGAGTGCAGCAGAAGCTCGCATCTGCACAAAAGCCAGATTCGATTATGGGCGCGGCTCACATTCCCCCTCCCATCCCTCCCACTCGCCCCCCATCCCTCCCTCCCCCATCCCTCCCTCTCGCCCCCCCTCCCCTCCCTCTTGCCCCCCCCCCCATATTTGCCTCTCGCCCCCCCCCCATCCTATCTCGCCCCCCCATCCCCCCCTCTCGCCCCCCCCCCCATATTTCCCTCTCGCCCCCCCATCCTATCTCGCCCCCCCATCCCCCCCTCTCGCCCCCCCCCATATTTCCCTCTCGCCCCCCCATCCCTCCCTCCCCCATCCCTCCCTCTCGCCCCCCCATCTCTCCCGCCCCCCCCATCCCTCCTTCTCGCCCCCCATCCCCCCCTCTCGCCCCCCATCCCTCCTGCTCCCCCCATACCCCTCCCGCTTCCCTGCACGGAGTCCGCGCACTCCGCCCTCTCTCTCTCTATCCACCCTCTTTCTCTTCCACCTCTCTCTCCCATAACGAGTTTACACCACCAGCAGCCCCTCCCCTCCTCCGCCCCATCCTCCTTCCCCCCTCCCCTCCTTTGCGGGGGGGGGGGGGTTAAGAGGGTTGGGGCACCATTTCCTGTGTGGGGAAGGAGGTCGGTCAGCCAGAAGCAGCGCAAAACTCAACATCGCGTGCCCGCGTTGTGCAGATGCGCGTGGAGCGGTGGTACAGCGGTTAGCGCGTTGCTGCTAAGAACCAGGCGGCCCGAGTTTGATTTCCCTGCTCACGGGCCACCACCGGTAGCGATTATCCGAACCGGTCCTGGGCCTCCCCCCGTAGGTCGACGCAGCCTCAACATGAGTACCTGGTGCGGTGTGTAACCATCAGCGCTTGGGGAGACAAAGGCGGTCGTGTGTGATTCTGGTTCACACCGCCCCTTCGTGCGCCGTTCAGGCCTTAGCAGAGATGCTCGCTAGCAGCACTTGACCCAACCAGCCCGTGAAAAGCTACATGGGGGCATCTTTATCTTTGCTTATGAGCGCCGGAATGTATCAGGCAGGGAGTGGGTTTCGTCATGAGGACTGTGCCACGAACGACACGGCCAACGTGAGTGGCGAGTGATCAAATACATTGTCCTTGGCATCCTCTAGGTCGGCTCAACCTTAAAAAAGTGCCTGATGCGATGTGGAAAATAGCATTGGGGAGACAAAGACACTTCCGATAAGCACTGTTGGCTACGTATATGGGGCCGTCCATAAATGACGTCACGCGATTTTGGACGATTTTTTACCCCCCCCCCCCCCCCACTCGTCACACGGCGTCACAAAAAGTCAGACCCCCCCCCCCTCAAATTTGACGTCACAAAGCTCTGCCCCCCCCCCCAAAATTAAACATGCTTCAAATCGCTTTAAACTATTGTCATTGTAGTGCGTATTTTATGTGGCGCTGCACTCTGATGTTGTAGGAGAAAACATTTATTAAAAAGTCTATTTAATTAAGTAGAACGTGTTGTCTATATTTATTTAAAGTTGCGCATTTTGATGTAACGTCACATTTCTCAAACCCCCCCCCCCCTCGTTCCACATCGTCACAAATATCTGACTCCCCCCCCCCCCCCCCAGGTACGTGACGTCATTTATGAACGGCCCCTATACATAACCTAGGTGTAAAGCTTTCGTGACTGCAGGGATTCATCTTCTTGGTTCTTTCGGTAAAGTCACGTAGAAGGGAAGTAATAAAATAATAAAAATAAAACATAATAAAATAATTCTCACGACGTTTCGGCCACAACGCAAGCAGCCGTCCTCAGGTGAAAACAGGTCTGTCGGGGAGACAGCGTGACTTTACCGAAAGAACCAAGAAGATAACCTAGGTGCTTACAAAACTACACTTGCCCCAACGCTCTATAAGCAATGTTATACCGGGGGAATCTTTACTTCTGTTCTTGTAATAAAAAGGTCGTAAACCGACTGGGCCCCCATCGTAGGAATGTGCAATTTCCAGCACTGACTCAGAGCTGCAAGCGGGAGATTAGCAATTCCTCATTGTTTAGTGGAGCAAAAATCTGACTGTTGACTTTATACGTGAACAAAAACGCAATTTGCACCATCGCTATGACTGTCGCTGTGGACTACAAGGGTGAAGACTCTCCAACCCATTGAACCGTAAAGTCAGCAGATTCGCTCGTAATTTTGGGGAAGTCCTGGGGGAGGTGGGGAGAACAGGGAAATGCATTAATACTCCGAATTACGTCTCCACCTTTTCAACGTCGTTTCACAAACACCTGGCCACCTTCATTAAGACCCGCACCCTATTTGCGTCGCTTCAACTCCCCTCCCCACTCCAACTGACTTCGCTTGGTGTTTGAACGCTCCGCTCTTCACAGCAGCCGCTTTACTACCCCTCCTCCCAGCCTCGGCTCTTGCGATCCAGCGTTGCCGCAACGATCTGGAACCATCATCGCTATGACTGTCGCTGTGGACTACAATGGTGAAGACTCTCCAACCCATTGAACCGTAAAGTCAGCAGATTCGCTCGTAATTTTGGGGAAGCCCTGGGGGGGGGGGGGGGGTGGGGAGAACAGGGAAATGCATTAATACCCCGACTTACATCTCCCATTTTCAACGTCGTTTTACAAACACCTGGCCACCTTCATTAAGACCACCACCCGATTTGCATCGATTCAACGCCCCCACACACTTACGTCGCTTGCGGTTTAAACGCTCCGCTCTTCACAGCAACCGCTTTACTACCCCTCCTCCCAGCCTCGGCTCTTGCGATCCAGCGTTGCCGCAACGATCTGGAACCATCATCGCTATGACTGTCGCTGAGGGCGAATCTCCAACCCATTGAACCGTCAAGTCAGCAGATTCGCTCGTAATTTTGGGGAAGTCCTGGGGGGGGGGGGGGGGGGTGGGGAGAACAGGGAAATGCATTAATACCCCGTCTTACGTTTCCCCCTTTTCAACGTCGTTTCACAAATATAACTGGTCACCTTCATTAAGACCCGCACCCGATTGGCGTCGCTTCAACTCCCCTCCCCACTACAACTGACTTGGCTTGCGGTTTGAACGCTCCGCTCTTCACAGCAGCCGCTTACTACCTCCCCTCCCAGCCTCGGCTCTTGCGATCCAGCGTTGCCGCAACGATCTGGAGACGCCTTGCCGACCGGTGATCCGGCAACGCTCACGAGCCTCGGTGTGTTTAGGAGCAAGCGCGGAGAACTCGCCGTTTTCTCAGTGGCTTTTACTTAAACGTTGTTTTTTTTTTTAAATCGTCTTTGCATTTTATTTCAGTGCGCAATGCGACGATACCCCCCTTGAGTGGAGGCGATATTACATTTAAAGTAAATGCGATTTAACTCTTAGCATCGTCCCTCCTGTTCTCGTATCCGTCGCTTCTCAGCCTTCGCCTCCACCCTACCCTGTGCACGAACTGCTTTGCGCCGCGCGTGTAGGAATGTCGCCGTCAGGTCGAGCATGACCTCTGGTGACATCCACGACCAGACTAGGCCATCCGCACCGCGTGTCTCTCTCTCTCTCGCTGCCTCTCGTAGCTGAGTTCGCGTGAGGCCAGCGGTGCGCTTGATGTTGTCCATCCGCCTCCTCCGAGGTCGACCCTCTGCCCCTGCCACCTTCTCCATTCCTAAGCAAAGATCGAATCCTCTTGGTCCAGAGGTCCTCACAACGGTGGCCAAGGTTTGTCAATTTCTGCTTCACGAATAGGGCCTCATGATTGCAGGCAGGGCGCACGAGTGCTCGGATTGTAAATGTTGTGGCTTGGGTCTCCAACACACCGGTTAGTTTTCGATGTAAAGCTTTCGTGACTGCAGGGATTCATCTTCTTGGTTCTTTCGGTAAAGTCACGTAGAATGGAAATAATAAAATAATAAAATAAAACAGAATAAAATAATTCTCACGACGTTTAGGCCACAACGCAAGACAGCGTCTAAATGAAACAGCACCATGCTTGGAGCGTATATTTAAGCTGGGTTGGAAGGGCGCCTTGACAAAATAATTTGCATATCAAGAGGAATTTAGCATATTTATGGTAAATGCAGGTATGTGATTAGTACTACTTATGCCCGTGCATTATGCAGGATTAGCAGCCGGTTAGTGCTGTACTAGTATACTACACTATACACTACACTATACACTACACACTAGTGCTGTACTAGTGACGAATTGGCCACGTTCTGTTTACGTGACAACCCTTACTAGTTGGCTGTGTCGGGTGGTGCCGGGTTTAACGACACATTTATATATCTACGCGATCTAACCCAAAACACCTCTGTTAGGGGGTACTACTGTAATAATTTACACTTCCATAACGACCCATCATGAACATGATTTACCTGGCGTGGTATGTACACATCAGCGCTGGGGAGACAAAGGCGGTCGGCCTTTATGTCGGCCACAACACCCACTCCCCCTCGTGTGCCGTGCCGCGGCCTTCACAGGTGCTCGCTATCAACACTTGCCCCGACATATTGTGCAGGCTATACAGGTGGTCTTTGTCTTTATTTTGTGCGTGAACACCACCGACTCGTGCGCCCTGCCAGCATTAGTAGGTGCTCGCTAAACAGCTCTTGCCCGGCAGTGTGAGTGACCTATACGGGTCGTCTTTGCTTTGCGTGAAAGGTTTGCAATGCGCTTTTTTTTACGATCAAAGGTTTTTGAGTTTTTTTTTCAATTATTTGCTTTATGTGCCTCCCCACCCCCCTGTTTCAATGAAATATTTCACGAAATATGTCACGCTCTGCTCTCCTCCTTCTCACCCCTTCCCTCTCTACCCCGCTTTAAATGTGCGTGTGTTCTTCGGAGTGTGTATGTGAATGTATGCGGGCGCGTGCGCGCGCGTGTAACGTGGTCCAGTGGTCAGCACACTGCGCTTTGAAGCCGACGACTTGAGTTCGACTCCAGGAAACGGCTAACACCAGTGCAAGCGGTCCAGAGACTCCCCGTAGGTCAACTCAGCCTTCAGACCTGCCACCATAAAGTGGTAAACATCACCAGGGGAGACAAAGGCGGCCGGAGTTTGTGTTCGCCGTTCGTGTCCAAA